TGCCACTTGCGGGTTCCCTGGGGAAGGTCCTAATCAGTCCTCCTCTTGGACCATTGCAACTGTGAATGTTGGCTCCCTCAAAACATCCACCTCTTGGAAGAATTGCCATGCCAATGTCACTTGTGTGCAAGAAACCCGGGTTGGAAAGAACGGTGTCATTCATGCGTCCAAATTGGTCCAACAAGAAGGCTCCCACCTTTTCCATGGAGAGCTACTACCAGGCTTGTTATCATCGCATGGCGTTACTCGCACGCCGCACGGAGGTGTTGCCATCCTTGCAGCAAAAGAGCTTGCAACAGAACTCCTCCCAGGCGAGGATGCCACGGGTCTTTATGTGAAACTCCGGGCTACAAAACGTGTGCAAGCGTGTTGGATCCAACTCACTAGACACCTGCGAGCCTTGGTGTTCTCAGTTTACTGTAAAACCGCTGCCTCGGCCGACAAGCACATTCTGGACTTCAACAATTCTCTGTTAAGTGACATTCTTTCGGTTGCCAGTCAGTGGGGGGATATTCCCATCATCATCGCGGGTGATTTTCAACTTCCGCCCCTTCAATACCCCGTTGTTGCACACGCCACCAACTATTTGCACTGGTGTGATGTTTTGCAAGTTGCTACGGGTGAGGACACTTCTAGGCCACTTACCTTTTCCATGGATGGTAACTTTACAGGATATGGTGACGGGTGCAGCAGCATTGATGGCATCTTAACCAACTCGTTTGCCACGGCCGCTCTGGCTTCAGTGGAGGTGCTGCCGTTCTTTCGTGTTCAACACAGACCGATCAAAGCCACCTTCAACTGGAAAACTATTTGGCAACAAGGTTTCAAGTTGTACAAACCTGCACCTTTTGTCTTCCCCCCTGGGTTCAAAAGTCACGCTTTTGATGCACCGGCTTACCCTCATCATGAGCATATTGAGAACAAGTGGCATTTTGCCAATTCTTTGTGCATTGACACCCTGCTCGATCAAGGAGCCTCATGGGGAATAGGACCACAAGAGCGTGGCAAGGCAGTTCGTACTCGACCTAAGCAAATTTGCCCGGGCCAAAACCACTCAGGCGCAGCCACTACAAAGCGTGGCTCCTGGCTAGCCAATGCTCTAGGAGGCCTTTTAGAGATCCAAGCCTTTCACACACAGGTCATTCAACCTGGTCCACGCAAGGTCATATGCCACCGCACGATTGTCAAAACTTGGTCACGACTCTTCTGGCTACAGGCTCCATGCTTGTGGCCGTATGAACGCAATCCCACACTGGTTGAAGTAGCCAGAGCCATTCAGTGGGTCCAGGACACCCAGGCTGTTCTTGAGCTGAAATGCAAACTTCGACGCATTCAAGCTTGGAAGAATAAGATTAATGACTCGGCTAAGGTTGGTTCTGCCTACCTGTTTCGGCACCTCAAAAATAAGAATGCCGAAGAACCGGCAAACCTCATCATCGACCAGCAGAAAAATATTGTTTTTGCACCAAGGGAGGCAATTGCTGAAATCAACCAACAATGGGATACTGTTTACAGCGCTAATGAGGGTTTCCCACACCCTCTTAAGATGCTTGAACTTGTATGGCCTCAAGTGCACAATTTTGCTCAGTCCTGTTCGGTCCCTGACTTGTCTGCCCATGACCTGTTTCTAACCGTCAAAAGTCGGAGAGCTGATGCTGCACCTGGCCTTGATGGCTGGCGTACTCTAGAAATGCAAATGCTACCCCTCCAATGCTTTGAGGCGTTCGCACTGCTCTTTCGAGAGGTTGAGGAGAATTCCACCCACCTCCCACAAGCACTTGCGACTGCAAAGCAGGTCATTCTTAACAAGAATGGAAGTTCAGAGCCTTTGCAAAAGCGGCTAATTACTTTGCTCCCTGTTATTTTGCTCGCATATACAGGAGCACGCTTTCGGCACCTGAGAGAATGGCAGTCAGCTGTAATGCCTTTCCAACTGCAGGGAGGAATCCCTGCTCGCCAAATGTCAGCGATCCACACACACTTCGCTTTGTCCGTCGATCAAGCCAAAAGTGATTCGGAACCACTAATTGGCATAAAAATTGACAAAGCAAAGTGCTTTGACCGGATCATACCGCAGTATGCTGGAGCCCTAATGCTCACCTTTGGTGTCCCTAAGGGTATTGTCAGTGTCTTCCTCAAGCTCTACTCGCAGTTGGAACGCCACTTACAGTACAAATCATGGTTTGCCCCTGCTGCAACGCATAGTGCAAATGGAGTAGCCCAGGGATGCTCCCTCTCTTTGATCGCGGTAAATGTACACATGAAAGCCTGGATCCATATGCTTGATGTTTTGCCCACGGTTGCAGCCAGAGCATTTATTGACGATGCCTACCTTTGGACAAGACTCATTCACAGCCAGGATTTGTTTAAGGCAATCCAAATCACAAAAGCTTGGGACGACCTAGTTGGTCAAGCCATGAACAGCAACAAGTGCTCTGTCTGGGGTACTACCTCAGCTGCTCGCAAATGCGTAAAAGCTCTCTTTCCTGACATGTCCCTGGTATTGGAACTCGAGGTCTTAGGTGTATATATTCGAACTAGTGATCGATGTGCTATGCACTTTTCGGAAGACAAATGTGCCAAGATCCTTGCTGACATTAAAAATATCGGAGCTTTGCCATTGTCGATCTCCCAAAAAGCAAAAATTATTGGTTGTAAGGTTATTCCGCAGTGCACCTATAATGCAGCCATAAATGGAATCCCGGCTAAAGCTCTTGCCAGAATCCAGGGCGAGATAGTGAATGTCCTTTGGAACCGACGCCCCCACTGGCGTTCTCGGTTCCTGGTTTTTGCCTTCCTTGCACAACCTCACCGTGTGGAACCTCTGTGTGCGAGGCATTACAATGCAATCTTGGACATTTACAGGTTCTTGACTATGTTTCCCCAAGAGGAGACCAGATTCCGACATTTGCTCAAGCAAGCAACCCCATCAAAAACTTCCATCGCCCAAAGCTTCAAACAAGCATTCCGTTTCTTTAGCTTGGAATTGGAACCCACTGGGATGATTCTCTTCCGAGGTAAGAAACTCGTGGATTGCATGTCGTTGGGGGTGCGTGAAGTCAAGAAGATTCTCCAGCAGCTTGCAAGGCATACCTGCTATGCTCAAGCGTCGTTGCAATCCAGGAAAGACTTTATAGCTCCTGGAGGCTTCCTTGATTTTCATTTGTCAACGCTTTTTCTGCGTAAACCTTCGTTTGAGGCAGAGACACCATCACCCGTCTCAGCATTTTTCCAAGCCCAGCTGGTTGGATGCGTGTTGACCAATGACCGTCTTGCGGCAGCCAAGCTGGTTGATTCCTCACATTGTCGCTTGTGCATGGCTTCCAAAGAATCGCTCCCTCATCTTGTTCGAGAGTGCCCCATTATCCTTAATGATAATCCCCCACCGGTTTGTCATGAGCTTGGCCGCAACTTTGAACTCTTAGGTATAGTTGATCACCCTTGGTCTGTTCTTGCCAAAAAGCTAGAGGTTTCTAACCCCTCTTGTCTGCAGCCAGTCAAGTGGGAGACCCTGGCTGAACCAGTTCTCGTGTGGACGGATGGATCAGTCATGTGGCCGGAGCATTTTGCACTCACGTGCGCTGGTTTTGCCGTCGTCAATGCCGACAATCAGGTTATCGCCCATGGTCCTGTTGCACATTGGTCATTGACTAGCTACACTGCCGAACTTTGGGCCCTAATACATGCGTTCACTTATGCTAGTGGTCCTGTTCACGTGCGAAGTGACTGCAAAACTTTGGTTGATCAAGTCTCTTGGATGTGCACCAATCAGCAAGTGCAACCCCAATGGCCTCACCTTCCCTGGTGGAACTTTTTGTTTGCTCTTGTATTGGAACGCCAACAGGTTGCTCCACAACCGCTTAGTGTTGACTGGATACCTGCGCACCTGTTGGAGCATATCCCAGAACACCTAATAGACGATGATATGGCACGAGCCAACGGCTCCACCGTTCGAGATATACACCATAATAGGACGGCCGACCATGCCGCAAAAAGAGCTGCGCTGGCAAATGCTGCAATCCAGCATCAGCTCTATCCAGAGGTTTGTCGTGCTGTTCTCCAACGTCAGGAGTGGTTGACACGCCTTTGCATGCTGTTGGGGCAGGAGGTCTCCAAAGAAATTCATGAAACGGATGATGAAAGACTTGAGGAAACTCTTACACCTGAAGCGCAATTTCCCAACCTCCAATGGCATGCTGATCCGACATGCTTTCCTTGGAAATTTGAACAAGAGTGGCCCTCAGTACCCGAGAAATGGCCCTTTGCTGTTGAAGACTGGGCGAACTTTGGAACCTTCATTAAAGCACTACAGTGGTCATGCCAAGCTGACATGAGAGTTTCTTTTACGGAGCTCGCTGTCCTTTTTGTGCATTTTGGGACACCATGTACACAACTGGCTGATGAACACTGTACTTTCCAAGCTTTAGCGAAATGGTTAAAATCGTCCTTTGCCTTCTGTCGCCGACAACTTGGACGGGCTATCACGCCGGGCAAATACGAACCTCACATTGCCCATACATGGGGCAAATTCATGCCACCAGGGACACTGTGTGGTTGTCGACCCTTTTTCTCCGACGACGCACTTCATTTGCTCACAAAGGTGTCCCGAAAAGTTACAGGGGCTGCAATGAGCGCCTGGGCCTTTCCTGTTGGTGAGTTTAGGTAGTTTTCTCATCCTTGCATGTTCAGTGGACGTTTTCGTTTAGCGCTCCAGTAGAATGCTGGCGCTACAGGCCACCTCAATGGAGGGGATTCCGACCGTGGCCGCGAGAGGTAGAAGAGAATTTCCCATTCAATCAGGGGGGGTTATTAATCAAGAGTCTACATCACATGTTGTTACCCAGATTTCCAGCAATTTCCTCGCAGCATCCAAAAGCTCACAGAGCTGGTTGGGATGGTGCACCATGCAAAAGCATTGTATGCAACATGCCATCAACTCCGGACATTCTGAATGACTGACTGAATCCGTTCCGCGAATGTGTGAAGATTTGGCACCTTAGGAACCTGATGATCGTTTTCTTGAAGCCACTCTCAGTGAGATCTGGGCAGATGGCTTGCTTGACTCCGACCTGAAGCCCGAACGTGGCAGCTTGGAATGTGCCACTATGGCTGCCTGGAGCTCTACATCAGCCACTGCAAGTGCTGCACTGCCAAAGGCGGCAGAAGCGATTGAGTGGTTGCTGCTCCGTGGTGCTCCTGCGACTGGGATCCGAGTTTTGTTGCCCAAAGACCTGAACAAAGGACTGGACGTCGGGACCAATTCGGGACGTATATGGATCAACAGATCATACATGATCACATATCATACCTAGTTGGGGCATCTACGATAGTATAAACACTTCTTCAGAGTGAGTAAGTTCTCATTGTCCCTCACTCCATGAGGCCAGCGTGCTCTTGCCCGAAGAGCCCGGCGCTTTGAAGGCTCGCATGAAAGCCTTGCGATTGCTACGCGCCTTCGGCGCCACGTTTGGTGCAACCCGGAAGCTGCCAACGTTTGGGGCGCAGCTTGCGGAGTATGTCATTTGCAAGACGCCCCCGTGCTTTGTGTGATTGATTGTCCTAGAAACCAGTGTGGATCCATCTGAACCATTTAGCTGGTATGTCCTTGGCGTTGTTGCTGCAACTTTTGTGGTGACAGTTCACGAATGTATATAGATCATTGCTTCAATCAACAGGCGGACGAGGCGGAGATGTGAAAGCTTGTTCCTTAAGCATCACCCTCCACCCCAAAACACTGCACCTGCATTAGGTGGGACTAGAAATGCACCCCCTTCCGTTGACAAAAGATCTGGGTATATTGGGGAGGCTAGTGAAAACTGAGAAAGCTTGAATCCCCTATGCCCATGGCTCAGGTGATTTGGGGCCAGTGGTTTGCCCAGCAGTCGCAGCTGCCGTTGCTGGCTGCCTGAGAGATCCCGAGGTCAAAGGCCGGGCTCTGAAACAAAAAACATGACCTTCTGTCCGAAGGCTGATGCACCAGTACTCCTGTTTCTTTTTGGGCCTTTCTCATAGGTCTTTGAAAAGACCTATAGTGCTGAGGGAGAGGCAGCAACGAAGCCGTTCGAACAAATGCAGCGAGTAGCTCCATTTGTGCTTCATCCGCAGGTCGTCGTGCGGCTGCCCAAAGCCTGGCGGCCTTGGGCCCCAGTGTGGCAAAGCACGCACCTAGGGCGATACCCCGACTGCTCAGGCTGGTCGTAGATCAGAGGGATGGAAGGTCTTGGATTTATAGATCATAACTGACTATATAATTATGGTGTCTCTGGACCTTATGGCTCTGGTTCCGCCGTGTTCCGCCATGTTCCGCCTAACACACCTTGTTTTTGTTGGCTGTGGATCTCAGTCAGCTTCCTGTTTTTTGAAATGCAAGACTACTGTATTCCATTCAGTCTAAGAAGGCACGCCTGAGCACGGAAAACGCCGTGGAGACCACCATTTTGGGGTGCAGGCTTTTTCGAGATCCGGATCCTTTGCTGCTTGGTGAACAATGCGGGCGTGACAGCCATTGGAAGCCGCTTTCAGCTCATGAAGTCAGTCTAAGAGTCTTCAATAGTCTTCATGTTGGTGCGGGGCAGTCATCATATCTTCTTGTTACTAGTAGCCAGTAGCTTCTTGTTCCTAGCAGTAAGGCCAGGAGCCCCGAACGTAGCTTGATGGGCGCCATGATTCTCCGCTTTCCAAACCCCACCCAGATGTGCCGAAGACGCTGCCGTGGCGCTGGGCCACCTGGGCACGGACGCGCTGGGCGCGGCGGTGGCCGAACTGCGTTCGGCCGAGGGGTCGACTGCTGTGGGCGTGAAGGCGTTGGCGTGTCGCGCTCTGGGAGAGGCTGGGCATGAAGCTGCAGCTGCTTGGCCCATGACGTGGGTTGGAAGGCTGAAGGCCACTGAAGGTGGGAGATGTGGGGCAAGGGGAACATGATGGAACATGGTAACATGGGTGAAGAAGTTGATTTCAGTCTGTCAGTATCAGCTTGGGGGTTGACGCTTGCATCAGCTTGCGTCCAAGAGATTTAAGATGATTTGAGATGCCATGCCTTTGGAGCTCTCCGAGGCTTTTGGCACAGATCTTCTGGAGCTTTTGCAGTCCGAGCACGCTGTGCTAAGAGCCAGTGCCAGCCAGGCTTTAGGTGGGACTGATGCACGGAAGTGGATGCATAATATATGCAACATGTCCGTTCTCCAAGCCGCGCCTCGACCTCCCTGCAGGTCGCATCGGAGCCGCACACGCTGGAGACCTCTCACTGTGCTCCTTGCTGGCCCACCTGGCCACGGAAGATCAGGTGCTTTGGTGACAGATGACGGGTCACCAGTGGGAACAAGAGGGAAATCAGAGGTGATTTTTCGGGATCGATTTTTCTGGGACGTCTGTGATTTCATGTGGCCAGCTGTGATTTCATATGGGGCCGTTTCTTTCACGTGGGTTCTTTGAAGCCATTCTCCAAAAATATGCCACTACTTCAGGTTCACTACTGGCCAATTTCCACTGGCCCTGATGCAGCAAGGTCTTCATGAACTCGGAAGTCTAGTTCAGTCGCCTGGGTGGAACCCTTTCTCTACTTGACCAAGGGGTTCTTGAATCAGAACCACTATTGGGATTCTGTTCATTCCTAAAGACATCTCGTGATATTGCGATACGGTCATCATGACATGTGCACATGGAACTCAATTCCTTGCTTCCCTGAAATTAGTAAGTCTAAATTTGTGTGCTGGCAGCACGTAAGCTTGTATAGTTGGTTCCTGTGGTCAACATGAGCATGTCAAAAGCTCCGAACCCTGTAGGTGACCAACAATACTCAATACAGTTTGGTTGCTTAGTGGTTCATACCACCCAAACATCGCTGCCCGACACGAGTTCGACAGCGAGCTCGCACATCGCTGGGTGACTGAGGATTGCACGACGCGGGAGGCTGCAGTTACAGCACTTGGTCTTCTCGCCACCGAGGTCAAGCGCCCCTTGGGCAGTGAGTGGTCGAGACCCTCGTTGGAGACCGCCATGGTTTGAGGATGGATGATTGGAAGGCTACGAACTGCAAATCAATAAAGAGGGGGTGAACTCAACTTTCATGATTGTCAAAAGAGGGGTGTGAGGCATTGGACGCGGCCGTTCTTTTTCGACACGTTTCAACGTTTCGGACAGGACCATGGACCATCAATCTGAGCACTGGGGAGGAGACATCAAGGACTCATCAGCCCCCCAAAAGGGGCGATCAATATGCAACTATACATGAGGGTGATGAGTTCGTTGTGGCAGATTTGAGGGAAAACCCTAGTTCCTGAACTTCTGGCTGGCCCAGCATCCGCACGCCAGCCTTGAGGATTTCAGACACCTCCATTGTATATAACCAACATTGTTTAACTCCAGTATTTTTGACTGGGCAAGATTCTCAGCAGAATCTCCTGTGTAGATCTACGGCCGCTATTTTGACCAGCTGGATGTACCCTGGGGTGTGACATGTAACATGCAACGAAAGATAATGAAAGTGGTCAGTTCTGAACCAGTTAGGTCAACTTTTCAGGTCAGGTGCACCATGGGCTGCGCTCTGAGCATGGCAAAAAACCCCCACCCCCATGGCACCCCATGGCCAAGGCGCAGAAGCTCAAGGCAGGTTTCCACCGCGGTCCGGTCCGGTCCGGGACTGCCGGACTGCCGATCAGTTGGGGGTGGTGCTTTTGGGAGGTCTGTCTGGGGCGGCAGTCCGGACTGGCAGTCCCAGACAGGTCGTGTTTGGGTATAAGGATTCAATCTTGAGACCAGTTAGGTCATTCTGTTTCGCCTCCAATGTCTTATTTTAGTCTCCGGTCTCGCCGAACGGAGACTGTGGTGGTTTTGGGTGCCACACGTGGGCCGAGTGGTCTTCTTCCCCCCCCCCCGCAGTCGGTCCACCGGTCGGGTTCAAAGGCGACCGGCTGACCGGGGGCAGACGGAGGCGCCGACCGGCTGTGACGAAGTGTATGAACAACACGAATGTGTTGCCCACCAGTTTTTTTGAGTTGGGGGGGGGCAGGGTTTCACCCCTCCTGAGTTTCTTGTGACTGTGAATTATTAACGAGGGTTGGCAAAAGTCATAAAGCGGCATTCTCGCTGCCATGGTTTATATTATTGCTCGTAACTATGTACAGTATACGGAAATTATATTTGACGCTGGCAGGGGCTGAGTCGGGCTGAGACCTTTCCTGAAATATGTGATTGTGAGTTTTGCCTTTGTTTGAGGAGAGGATGAAATGCACGGCTTTCCTTAAAGGGTCATGCATGGATAGGTAGATGTACGGTTCGATACCACAACACTGCAAATACTGGTCAAATACCAGTGACCGGTGTAGGTTCGATCAAGTGATTCATTCAATCCAACATGGTTCGGAATTCTGTCGCATAGGCGAGTTGGAAGTGGTACGGGCGGCATTGGCTTCGGCATTGGATGATGTTGAGACCTTTGTCCGTGAAGCCGCTGCGCTCGCATCTCGGTTTGAGGGGAGAGGTGCACTTGTTGAGTTTTCATCGCATCTGCAAGTTCTGGCTCGTTCTAAATGAATTTTCGGCTTGAGCAAAGGTACTTTGGGGTAATCCTGTCATAGGTGTGGCTGCACAACAAGGGCCCCACTGTCGCAGTGTCGTTCGCCTGGTCCGCCATCGTGTTGAATTCGTTGAGATGCTTGCAGAGGCACTACAGGCTGCTGCTTAGACACCAATGAGAGCCTTGCCGCCATTCCCCGAGTAGACAGACGCGTGACCTGGAAGACGGTGCCCATCATTTCACCTCATTTCCCTACGCAACTGCAACCCTCATATGCCATCATATGCCATATGCCGCTGTCAGGCCCACTAGTCACTAGTTCGCCAGAAGCAAGCAGAGATGCATGGGGAATGCATGCATGTGAACTCGGTGAGACAAACTACCTCATCGCGTCGGGAAACGGTCTTTCAAGATGGGCACCGTTTTCGCTCAAAGGGCCCAAAGCTGTCCGCCCAAATGAGCAAAGCTCACCTCATCGTTTGAAACATCGCCGATCTGGTGTGGCCCCCCTTTCAGCCACCTGAGCAGTAAGTTCATGTCAAACTGCAGATTCCGTGGAAGATGTTTGGAGGCTTCATTCTGGGTGTTTCGGCCTCCAGCCCCAAATCCCAGCCACTATCAGCCACTTGTAGATTCTAGCGGCTTAGGAGCTCCATTTCAGATGCACGCTCACCGGCTTTACCCAGGCTCAAATAAATCAACGTATTGTTGTTTAATGAGGCTTCATGAAAGAATCGGATTTGTATCAAAGGGAGACCCTGAAATTGTCGTGTTGGCTGGGAACCAGAAAGACATTGAGACTACCTTTCATATCTTCCATGCAGCATACGTGCGAGGTATGTCTATACAAAAGCTACAATTGTTCTCACCTTCACACTTTCCCGACCCACTTCCCAATTTTTCGGAGAAAACACTCCTCAACTTGACGCCACACTCCAATAGGTGCCAAGCGGTCGCTCCGCACCTCGACCGCCCATGGAGCTGGCGGTCGCCGCTGCAGTCCCTCCGCTGGTGCTGTGGGCGGCTGGGCGCTCGCGCCGGCGGGTGGCGGAGCAGTGGGCGAAGCTAGGGGACTTTCAAGCCCTCAACGACCACCAGGCGGGTTCCGTCAAGGGCGACCATGGCGAAGCTAAGAGGCCCTGGAGTCCAGCTCGGAGGCCCCTTGAAGAGCTGGAAGGGCTGGATGTTTGTTTGGGGTGATCATCTCATCTCAAGTGGTGCAGGAGTTTGAAGAAAGACAATGAAAACGCCAGGAACGAGACCTGATTTGGGTCATACAGTAGCTGAAATGAGTATGACCACTGTCCATGGCCTTGGCAGTGCCGGAGATATGTGCATTATCCTGGGCATTCCTGGGCCATGGCTGTTTCAAACACTCTCATGACTCATTGCTGTACTTGTAGCCTTTGCCCAAGAGGATGCCAAAAGCTACGTAAGAGGAAGCAATGACAAAGTGCAGCATCAAGAGTTGCTCTTTGTGGGTTTTGGTGCTTCAGGCCGTGGTGGCACGCTTCTCCAAGGAGAAGGAGACTGTTCTTCTGATTGGAAGTAGTGGCTTTGTTGGAGTGAGAATTCAGCAGCTCCACTTCGAAACATATCAAGCACCATTCAATCTGGTTTGCGTTGACCTTGGAGCTCCAAAAGAGATGAGATGCTTGGACTAGTTTCAGTGCTTGGAAACTCTTGGTTTGCCTTTTTAGAGAGGAATTCGCAAAGGTGGAGCCGCAGGAGAGTCTCACAGGCCTTAATTCTACTTCCTGGGGCAAATCCGAGGCATAGCGGCATAGACAACCGCAAGGCACAACCATCGTGACACGTTCGACACGTTCAGGTCCATGGTTTCGCCCGCCACAAAGGCAGGACACGAAGGAAGCTGCAGAGCTACGCACGGCTACGCATGATTTGCGATTTCGTAGAAGAGCACGGCTGCTGATGTGTCTCCATTTGATGGTCCCATGTTCCGGCTTCGCGTGAGACTCCGCCTGCAGTCCTGCAGTTCTTGTGCCCTAGGAGAAGATGTGGTCTACTTCACTGGCGATGTGCGCGAGCCAAAGCACCTGAAAGAGATCTACACTGTGATGTCCAGCTACGGCTTTCCCATCAAAGGAACCATGCACTTGGCCTCAATCATCCCTTTCTTAGGGATACCTGTGGCTCGGATGAGGTCAGAAATTCGCATGAATGTCCCAAGTGAACGGTGTCACCTGTGACGGGTTTTCATGGATAAACATGGCTTTTGGCAGGGAACTTCCTCCTGCCACGCTCGCCAAGTGAGTCCAAACAAATATATGGCAAACATGGCTTTGCTTTGCTGACGTTTGGACCAGGATTGCTGTTCGGAGTAGCTGCTTAGCTGGTGCCATCCTTTGTTTCACGGGATTGCTAGAATTTCCCAGCCCACCAGGTAGAAGATGCAACACACAAGCAACATCAAGCAACCAACCCAGCATTGGTTGGGGTTCTTTTTTTTGTGCCCAGCCTCTTAGGTTCAGTCTGGGTGTTTTTTCTCCATGTCTGGGGTTCTAGGACAGTCTCATCACGCGGGTGAACGTGAAGGCCCTGGAAGACTCTGTGAAGATGGCCAAGGATCAAGGTGGGCGATTCAGACTTCACCCTGAAATGGTCCGATTCCCATGACCCTCACGAACACATCACATGGGTACGTGGAAGGCATGGCCCCAAAAGCTAATGACCTGTCCCGTACAAACAGAGGGCTTTTCTACTTCCATGCGACTTTTCCTCACCATGTTCGATCGGAGCTGCTCTTTTCCTCCCCTTCGTTTCACCGAGCTTCAGCAAGGGACTCGGCTCCTTCCCAAACCGCGGCTGAGGTGTGAGCTCTTTCGTGTACACCTCCTCGGCCACTTGCGTTCTGGACGGAGCAGATGATGCACCAGTGGACCTGGATGAAGGGAGCCCATATCCCGAAAAGAACATGGACACTTACACCTCCAGCAAGGCACAAATGAACAACACAAATTGAGGTAATCAACCGTGCGTGTGCCGTCGTGTGCACTGTATGGTGACAATTCCTGAACATATTCCATCATGCCCAGACCATGCATGTAGTATGACATATTGTTATGACAGATTATGACAGATTGTTGTGGTAGTTACTTACATGATCTTACATGGGTGGTCCATTTTCATGTGCAAACATCTCATGCAACTCTTCTTATGTCTCATGGATGGTTCTGGTCGGTTCATATATATATATATATTTATTTATTTTTTTGCACGCCCGTGCACGCCTTTTCTGGTCAGCGAGTCTCATGCGAACATCTGTCGCAAGTCTTTGCTCCTTTGGAAAACGCACCGTCCTCGAAGTCGGGCCGTCATGGTGATCGTCTTGCCGACGATCCTGGTGCGTGCATGGCACCTGCTGCACTCCACAGTCTGCCCGGTGCGCTGCATGGTGTGCGACACGTGGCCCAGCCATAGACTCGGCTCTAGTGGTCCGCAGTGGCAAGGCTCGCCGACGAACCTGGTGAAAGCCTCCTCGTTTGTCCTGGCCAGGATGTAGCTCTTGCATTCCGTGCACCTGAGGTAGGCACGGTCCAGCTTGAGGTGGTGCACACCTTTCTGAGGGCCTTGCTGGAGGCCACATGAGGCCACCAATGCATGAATCATCTCCATCCTTGTCTGCTTTGGCGGAGAGGCCTTGGGAGCTTTCTCACACGGCTTGTCCGCTGCTTCCTTCAGCTCAGCTAAGAGGCTCCTGCTGTGGTAGCGAAGTTTGCAGTGCCCGCATTTGATGCCACTCCTGAAGGTCTCCCATGCATGCCCCGCGGGTGAAGGCTTGGAGAGCAAATCCGCCAGCAGCTCCTTTTTCTGCTGTATGAGCGGAATCTTGTCCTTCATGACCGCCTCTTTCCGATGCAGGACATGCTCTTTGTTTTGTAGCAAAATGCTCATCCGTTCGCCTGCATTCAGAAGGATTTCATGTGCATCATCATCGACGTGAGATTGCAAATCTAAGATCTCCGTGGGCTCGAAAAGCTTGCCAGTGCGGTGGGCGAGCTTCTGCGTATCCTTCTGCGTGACCCTCCTGAGTTCATTCTGCTCAAGCTCCTTCGTGGAGAAGAGCAAGGGCCAGACATGGTCAAAGTCTTCGAACTCCAGCCCAGGGAAAAGGTCAGGGTAGGTCTCAAAAGCGACGTGTGGCTTCCATGTTTGCCAGGTCCTCACATCATACAAGGCCACAGGAGTCTTCTCAAGGACATGCAGTGCAAGTTGCTTCATGGCGTAGAAGAGCGCCCTCCTTTTGTTCATCACTGGCAAAATGCCAGTGATCGAACCAACCTGCTGCTTGGTCTTGGTGAGGTGAACACAGACCGCAAAAGCAAATCTCCGGTGCCTCTTGTCCCCACATGTTGGAGCTACCGCAATCGAGCAGATATGTCCTTTGTCAAACCGGAGCAGGCCCAGGTCCTTCCAGAGTCCAGTGCCCTCAATGGTGGCGAGACCCTCTTCAGGAACATAAAAAATGCTCTGCACGAAGCCCGTTTGCCAAAGCTCTGGATCAGTGCCGGCATTTAGCCGGTTGGTCCATTCTGCAGAAAGATCCTTGACTCTTCCTTTCCAAAAGGAGCATTCCCACAGCAAGTGAGTGAAGGTGAGTTCTACTCCACACAGCGGGCAATGTCCCGACACCCCATGCAGTGTGCCTTGATGGAAGGCCCTGAGCCCAGTGGCCAGCTGCTCACTTGTGGTTCTCTGAATGTGGAGACTGATCATCCAATCCAGCTGCCTTTCCATGTCGTGGCATCCATCATACCTGGTCAAACGTAGAAGTCGTTGCCAGCGAATTTCCTTCTGAAGCTGGAAGTGGATCACTGGCCAAGGATCTGAGAGCGAGATGGTGCAGTCTGGGATGCCCCCATAGCCAGTTCTCTTCCATTTCTGACAAACTCCAGGTCTCATGGATGGTTCTGGTCGGTTGTTCATATATATATATATATATAAACGGCCGAGCACCAAGCCGTCGCCAGGTCGCAGCCGAGAGGATGGTGTGTGGAGCACATGAGGCCAAGGATGAGGCCGAGCGTGGCGAAGGGACGAGCTTCTACACGGCCGTTTTGCGCCCTTCTGGGATAATAGGCCCAGGTGACAAGGTCCTGTATGACAAGCTCAAGCTGGGTGAAGACAATGTGTGGATTCAGGGGAAGCCCAATGGTGAGAGTTTCTTGGTGTATACAGATGGAGTCTTAGAGAAGTAGAAATTCGACCGCGGTGTTCCGGGAGATCTGCGAAAACCGCTCTTCCTGGAGTGATTAATTGTAGCCGTTGAATGCTTAGGGTTTGAATGGTTTGGAACTTTGAACCATCAATCTTCAGATGTAAAGAATCAGCCGCGATGACCGTGGACCATGGACGGTGCACGACGTTTCCCAGCATAGTTGGATGTTGGGCGATTTGTTGATCTCGTTGACTGGAATTGATCACTGATGGCATCTTCACTAAGTAACTGGCAGTTTGTGTGAGTGATGACATCCCAACTGGCTGATGAAAACAACACGTGGAACGGAAAACATGAAACACATTGAAACACATCCCGATTCCTCCGGCCTGGTTAGGACCAGGCGGTCGCGTCATGATTCACCTGAGTACTTGGTCGTCTCGGTAAGCATGTTCAAAGCGACCAGACCGTACCCTTCGCCGTCGAGGTTTGCTGGACTTCATTGGTGTGGATGCTGTGGCGCTGGGTCACTTGAAGGCCATGTCTCAACTCCTTCAGCCCAACGGCCGTCTCAAACGGCCCAATGCCACAATCATCAACCTATCGGCGGGGAAGGGCATCGAATACAAAAAGCTCATTGGTTGGGAGGTTGAGACAGATGGACACTTGGCATGACTTGGGCACACGTGAGCCAAGACTTTGTAGTTTGTAGTTTGTAGTGCTCGTAGGTTTTGAACGCCTTTGTTGAAGCGTCCAAGACACAAGTTTCTTTCGGATTTGAGTTCCAATGATTGCTCCGTCTCACAATTGGGGCCCTACCACAATGACAGCTGAAGAATTGATGGGGCTGCGGCTGCAGTTGAGGAAAAATCACCGACCAGTTCCATATGAATTTCTTTGTTTGGCAAAACGATGTGTTCTCTTTGCCCTGTTCTCATGTGGATTTGGACTTGCGGTTCCAAATCCACGCCGAACTAATCCATCCAACCGCCAATGTTCAGATTGCACGTTCTTCCGAGGCAAGAATTATTGGGGCCATGCGCCAGCCCGGCCGGTACCCTTTGGAGTAGTGAAGTGCTTGGCCTACATCAATGAGTCCTGGTGTAGCTTCTTTGGAAAGGCCTTACTGAGCCCCTTCCTCGCCCAAGTGAACTTGAACTACACACAGAGAAGCTATGTCTTTTCGAACAAGTGACCCGTCATGGAAACATCGACCGGGTCGGGGGGTCAAGAAGCCATTGGTCTTCATTGAAAGACATCAAAAGGGAAAAACATCAATCCAAGGTCATCATAAAAAAATGCAATCTAATATTATAGGTTGGAGGCCATCAAAAGAGGGAACAAAGGCCGATGTACAAACTTTTGGATCAAAGGCCGCAAGGCCAACGGGCCGCCAACGGCTCGGGTCTTTCGGTCTGAGACGGTGTGGTGGAAACCCCCCGTTTGACAGGTCTGGTGGGCCGTCGGCCTTCCTTCAATCCTTGTGGATTTCGATTGAGTATGATTTGGATAGGTCACAATTTGGTATTTCGTAGGTGGAAGACAACCCGATTGCAATCCCACAAATTCATCACCTCCATCGATGTCACGTTGTGAGCATTGCTTTTTGTCAGGAGGGCTCGCGAGTTGCTGCAGTGGGAGCCCGAGGATGATGACATCAAAGACACTGTGAGGAAATACCTGCGCCGGGATCCATCCTCAAAGAGGACCAATTAAAGCCAGTGTGAGAAAACACCGTGGCAACGACTCAGAGGTGTCAGGCTTGGAGCTTCATTAAGATCGGATCAAACTAACAGAAGTGGGCCTGTGAGGTGTGATTACAACATCATGTCGGACGCTTCATTTGGTCAGCTTATTCCCTGGAGAATGCTGGCAACCTGTCCATCCGATCAACGAAACTCACGTGTCGGACAGCCTCAAACAGAGTTGACGACAGAATCCGTCCTGTGACTGTGGAAGCACATGTTCACGGCCCTTTGTTTGTCGCGAATGAGCTAAACGACAGAATCCTTCAGCCGGCTCGTCTCAGTCAAGCACTGCAAAAAGGGTATGGACTGAAGGGCACCCAAGCCTGTTGCCTCAAAGTTTGTTTGCATCACCTACTGCATCACCTTTTTTTGACTTTCCAAGATTTTCCTTCCGCTCTCACACTTTTCCGCTTTCAGCTGCAGCACCTGCAGTTTTCGGAAAAGAGGTCAGAGGTCCCCATTTTCGGCGAATGAGGCGCTGCGCAGAAAAGGACGCGACACTCGGAGTTCAACAGACTGGGAGGGAATGGATGGCGATGGCGAAATCTCACGAAAGCAGTCCTTCCTCCAACCACCTCGTTGGTAAAGAATGGCAATGTTCAATTGGGGTTGAAGTTCTGTTTTTGTGTGCGTGCTGTCAGGGTGATGTGGATGTCACCCCTGCACGCATGTTGGCTTAAATGTCAATATGGCTTCAATGAGGTGTGAAACGGCCACACCCAATGCAAGCGGTATCGTAGGGCCGTAGGGGAAGCCTGCTTGAGACGAACAGATTGATAGATTGCTTCGGCGCAACTCCCCTCAGATGGAGGTTTGACTCGACTTTGCCCCCATTGGCCTCGCCACCGCCTGTGGGTTTTGAGTTTCCTGGACCTTCCAACTGCCAACTTGTTGTTTTACCTTTATCGTTTTGTTGTTTGCAGATTTGTGCGGTCGTTTCCTGTTTGTGAGTGCGTTTTGCACTGACCTGCAGTTGTTTGGCATTGTTTGGCCATTTGCGCCGATTTGCAGCCGCAAACGCGCTCTTCACACCAGACCAGATGACCAGCCAAAAGTGACATGTTGGCGGTTGGCCGTTGGAAGATCCAGATTTGTATAAGATGCGACACGGTTCGATCACAGGTGACTCCAAGACCGGTCCAAACTGCTCGCCGCGGCTCGCGTGTCTCTTCGCGGCTCGGTCTCCAGCTTCGGTTCCGGACAGTTCCCGGAGCGGGGCGGGCGCAGGGGGGACCGCGGTTCCCCATGGAGCGGCGCTGCGATCCCAATGACGGCGCCTACTACACCTACGATGAGATCTGGGTTCACTACAGATCCCTGTAGCTGGGGAGAACAAGTAGAGAGCTGTGATGGATTTGGACATGGAGGGTTCTTGGAAGCTGTAGATGATCTTGAACCAAGCGCACGAGAAAATACGAGTGGGCCTGGTGATACACGGTCAATATGATGAACATGCTTCAATGCACAGTACTAGCAGATATGCGAGCATTTATGTGCAGGGCGTTGCTTGAAAGTAGAGGAACCCAGCAGGGAGGAACCAGCAGTCGTGCAACGAGTTCAAGGTCTGGTCCTGAGTCCCATATCTATTGGCAAGGGAAAAGGCTCAGTAGGCCCTCAGTACGCGGCCACCTGTGGCTTTCTGGTTCACCACTCCGCCTTCTCCCGTGAGGGTGTGTGTAGATCCCAGGAGATACAAGCCGGAGGTCATCAACTCCTACTGGGACGGAAATCGACGTAGCCGTTTTTTGATCGTCACGCCGCATGCTATGAAGGCACCAATAGAGGTGATAGTTGATCGTATTAGGCTTAGTCTGCCGTATGCCTGACTTATTCAGCTGGCTCCATGTATGGTACACATGCAAGGCTTCAAATTGTGTTCCAGGCAGCTGGCTGACCTTTGGGTTGCATCGCATCATGACGCGCAGCAACCAGTTGGGCAACATATCCTCTATACACAAATGTATATACTCTCACATTGTGTCGTAGGCACATGGTGGGGTGACACCTGTAAATCGGTTGCATTCCTTGAAATCTTCAAACTGCTGGCAGGACTATGAGATGTACCCAGAAAAGGCCAAGCCCAGCGGAAAGTCGAAACCAAAGGCTAGCGGCTTGCCATTGCTCACCGCCCTGCAGAACATTTTCACACACAGCATTGCCCAAATTGCCCAAGCCATAAATCCATCCAAACTATTCGGTCATATAATGTTCCATTGTTTGGATGCCCTACCCCGCCTTTGTCTTTAGATCACAGTCCTTATGCTGTTAACGCCCTTGCACCATGCATGGATTCTGGAACAGGCCGAACCAAAGGGGGCCAAAGGCAAAGGCAAAGAAAAGGCCAGCCGAGAAAGTGGTTGGCCACTTGGTTGGTGCACAGCGCCAAGAAGGTGGCCATCACCCACAGCCGGGTACGAAAAATGGGTCAGTCAGTCGGAGCGAGAGAGAGAGAGAAGAGAAGAGAAGAGAATTTGTTGACCATATAGAAGAAACCTGCCCTTGCAGATCGACTGGAGACAGCACATGTTGGCTGCCATTTCTTGCAGAGTCCAGTGGAGAAACCCGAAACCGTCCGCCTCCCCACCTTCGGTCCGCGCTTTTGCCGACCAGGGCGATGGGAAGGGCAAAGGAAAAGCGAAGGCAGCGGTGGGTAGGGGATAGCTTGAATGAGAGAATGGGGGTCTTGGATCTAAGGAAAAAGGGTGTTTGATGATGTTTGATGCAGGTGAACAGGCAATTCTCGCCAGTGATGGTGGAAGGATGTGGAATGAACCCATTTTACACTTCTCGCCTGGGCACTGTGAGAGGACAATTCCTTTACACACGCGGCACTCTCGCGCGTTCGGCGTGGCGCCGGCAGGAACGCCGGGGCAGTACTTGACCGACCGACCGCTAGCATGTATTTGGGAATCCCGAGGGGGCTCGCACGGGCCACCGAGGGTTTATTTGAAGGAAATGCAGGAACGATTAGCATCGATGAGCTACATCTAGAGGGTTTTGAGATCTCGTAGCCTTTGCAAGGTGAGATATCATTCGGCTATTGACAAGCTAAGCCAATTCCACCCGTGCACCTGGCCACTCCGCGCAGGCTTCTCCGGAGCCTAAGGCAAAAGCCAAGGCCAAAGCGAAGGCAGGTTCTTTGGAGAAGGGTGGGGCGACTTGAGCACCTCAGCGATACAAGAAGAATGGATGCCCAGCTGAGGCAAGCTTTTGTGAGGTTTACATAGCACATCATAGCCGTTTTGCGAAGTTTGAGAAGCCATGTGAACACGGTGACCTGGTTCAGTCCAAGCACCGTGGTCCCCAGGCAGAGCCCAAAGGCGCCGCCAAGGCAGTCAAGGCTAGTGTCGAGCGTGCCGAGCACTTGAGGGTCTCAGTCCTATCCCAGTTCTTGCATTTCTCCTAACCCCCCCCAGAAAGGGGTTCCTATGAGGGTTGTTCTATTTCAACTTGACGTCGGCCTCAAGTTGAACCTAGATACCATAATGTTCACCTGGAAAAGGGAGAGGCCAGGGTCAATTTATATGCTATGCTATCCACCACGAATGTCACTACACCAAGAAAAATGTTTTTTTCATCGTAAATTTGGTCCAAATCTCAGGATTCCGAAGAATTCCTGCTGTTTTTGAGGGGTAGCAGGTAAGGGGTTCGCAGTCACATGTCGAACTCATGTCTCATGCCCCCCCATTCAAGCTGCCTGAGAACGTTTTAACGAAAGACTTGTTACGCACGATCCTCCACTGCCAAGCCGGCCCTCAGACCGCAGCGGCGAACCCCAAGCGCTTCATCAACGAGGAGCCCAGCATCGTTCAGGCGAGATTCCGGCCTGCAACTGAAGCATATCATCCACTGATATGTCATAATGAGTTCAAGATGAATTCGAAGTCCTTTTGCCTCAGATTGCAAGGGGTGGCTTCATCTCAAACTGGGATTCCTGATTCGGTCCATGAAGCGCTCCCTTAGCCTGAGTGAAAAAACACAGGCTTGGTGACTTGACCGGCAGTCCTGAGCCAAACCGATTGGAGTGCAGTCCCGAGCCGAGGATTGTGTGGATGGATTGATTTGGGCAACGCCCAACCTGGCCCGCCTTGATGGCTATCCAGACATCAAAGTGGTCTACCGGACGGATTGGAACAAGGACAAGGCCGACCAGGGATAGAGCCTCACATACAGTGATGCCTGGTTGATGCCTGGTACAGTAAAATATCCATACATCAGACATCATCAGACAATAGAACAACGGACTCTGGGTATGTTGCATTAGACCATGCATGAACCGCCATGTTCATGCTCATTGCCACCATGTGAAACTGGGATTCAAACGGGGGATAACTTGGTGAAACATTGATTGGACTCTGACCCGTGTAGGCTTCAGCAACTTGAGCGTTCTTTGTTGGTGCCAAATTCGTTTCATAGGGAATGCTTTCGGTCATGTTGAGCAACGGTGAAGGAAGATAGGCATTTGTTTTGCCGGAAGAGGCCCAACACACATGTAATTGCAACAGAATATCAACATCGCCGTTTGGATGCTTTTTTTTTGACTGGGGTGATCATGGAGCTGAGTTGGGCACGCCAGCCATATACAAGGAGCTAAAATATTTTCTTAAAGCAAAAACAATGCCAAATAAAAGGCAAAAGGTAAAGCAAACAAAGAAGCAACAAATAATGTAGCTGTGTGTGTTTGTCGCTTTTTCACTTTTTTCCGCTTTATTTTCCAATTTGTTCGCTTTATTTTCGCATTTGTTTCGCTTTTTTTCCCGCTTTTGTCCGCTTTTCCCCTAGGAGCGTACAACAAATATTGCTTACAGGTAAAAGTTCTCATAAGTGCAGAAGTGGTACCAGGAAAAAAGATTAAACAATGAAAAAACAAAAAGCAAAACACATGCAAAAACAAAGCAAATTGCGCTGCTTTTGCATTTTCATTTGCTTGTGTTTTGCCTCTCTTGTTTTTCGCATTTTGTCAAACAATATTTGATGGTTGGTCATGTATGGCTGCCATTGCTCAACGCAATTATTACATTCTTTTCTTATAGACAATCCTGGATTCACGACAACGAGCCAGGCAACGCAATGAGCAAACTCTTGGTGAAACCCCAAACCCTTCCTGGCGCTGCAGCTTCGCGAAGTGCGAAACTTCTCCACCCCCCAAAAACGCTCCAAACCCGCGCCCGGCGCCGTCGGACCGACCGCGGATCTGGGGTCGCCCTCCAGGTCTCCGTGATCTCCGGCGGCGGCGCCGGCCACGAGCCCTTGCACGGCGGCTTCGTGGGACGAGGTGGGGACCCAGGACATCGTAGGACGTCCGTGGCTGGGTTGGATCGGTAGGAAGCGGTCAAGGGCCTGTGAAGTCTCTCTTTTTAAATGTGTTTGTATTGTTTTTTGGGTGGTTTGCCTCGAAAGTGTTGTGTTTTGTGTTGGGTGGTGCAGGTTGTAGCAAGATGTAAGATGTACTCGTAGCAGGTAAAGCCCCTATAGGGTTCCCAATGACATGCAAAATGTCCCGACAATTTGTTTAATGTACAAGTTTGAGGCTACAATCGGAGAATTACATAATTCATTATAATTATGATTCCTCAAATCTGAACTATAGGTTACTTAACTGGACTTGCCACAGCTGCTGAGATGGCAATCTTTAATGTTTGATGGAACTTCACCCTCTTTGGCCAATTTGGCCAGAGGTTTTTGGGTCGCACCCCTTCTTGCTCCCCGCACGGAGAAACAGCTGCAAGGTCTTTTGACAGCTGCAATCTCTGGAGAAACCTTTGCATCTCCTTCCATCGATGCAGTGCTTGCGGCCATTGCACCTCGTGAGTTCAGAAGGAGATGGGTGTCGTTCAGTGAAGCAGTCGAGAGTATCGCATGTGGTCATGTGGTTTGATATTTAGCAGTATGGTCACCGCTGCTTTGGCACTTGTCACATCACACACACACACACTTACTTCATGCGTAGACCAACTGCTTTTTGCTAGCTTTCAGTTATATATATATATATGGGTTTTATGGGGTTTTCGGACACGGGCTGATGCTTGAGCTGGCCATTCTGGAAGAGTGCTGAAGATCGCTAGCCGCTAATGTGTGTGTGGGCAGACGTCAAATCAGTGGAACACATGCTTTGCACGCCCTCAGAACAAGTGTCGCGTGCATTGGAAGGTTGGGTATGCACCTCGTGTTCCACAGAGGGCAGATGACCGCCTGGCAGTTCCAGTTGCCACACACTGGCCGGTTTCACTGCAGCAATGCCTTCCTTTTCGCGAAACTTGCGACTCATCGACTGAGGTCCAAGTCACTGGCCCCAAGGGTTGCTTGCTGGTCATTAAGAACTACACCGGCGATCGCTTGAACTTCACTCTTGCGGCTCAGAAGGCGGGTCGCGAGATCGCTGGACCCGACACAGGAATACAGGACATCTACTGTAGTTTCTTGCTACTAGAATAGCGATGGCCTCCAACCTAATAGCGATGGCCTCCAACCTGGACCTAGTAGCTTCTTGCTACTAGAAATGATTCGCTTTCGGATTTGATGATGGGGAGTTGGTCTTATTGAGGCCATCAGACCAGATTCTTAAGCTATGGCAGTTATGTATACACGAAGATTATGGGAGGAATGAAAACCAGAGCTTTGAGGGCTTTGCCGATCTTGCTGGTGCCATTTATATACTGGTCTTAAGGTCTTCTTGCACTTGCAACTATGCAGCTTGCGAACATTTGATGTCCTTGTTGGTGACTGAAAGTGCGGTGAGAGGTTTAATGTTCAAAGTTGAGGATGAGGTTGTGTGTTTCAATGAGGCGGAAGGAGGTCTTGTCGGTGAGACGCGACGCCAGTCCTATATAGAATCCATCAACTTGCTGCATTGGATCCATCAGAATGAACCACAGACACCTTGGGTCCGTGGGTGACCAGCTGAGAGATGAGAGCATCCAGGCCAGATCGATCTATGGCCTTCAAGTGGAGACAGTGATTGTCAAGGACTGGAAAGCATGCCGATTCAGCCTTAAGGTGACGCAATGTGACCCTTCTCAAAAAACTGGCCATTTTAGGAGCCTCCCATTTATATATACTGGCCATTTAGGAGCCTCCCATATATGTATATATATATATATCCCATTCTTCGTTTTGCTTTGAATGGCTGGGCCGGGCTTAGATGTTCTTGCTTCACAAATCCGGATCGTGAGCGGAAAGAGGGTACCGTGCCACGGTGCCGCGCAGGTTTGGGTCCAACAGCAGCCTGAGCAACCGCCAAAACGTGTAAAGAACGGTCGTGATTTTAAGGAATTGGACAAACACCAAAAGGAATAGGCTAATAGGGCACCCTCACAAGCATTCAAAACAATTTATCCGATTGTTTTCCACAGTGTTTTTGGATATGTTCAGTTTTTCTTGACAGTGTGGCTAGAACATGCAACAGCGATAGGCCCGATAGGCTTTGCTCAAAAGCGATAACCTTGCTGAGTCATGTCCTCTAATTGACAGTGCGTTTTGACAGACGCTAAGCTGATCTGTGTGTGTTAGCTTGGGTTTGACATCGTTTGAATATGCTTTCAATTCCTGCCACCTTGAGTGGAACTGTTCGTGACCAGCGAATAGTTTGTCGATGTTTGTTGCAGCTCATGTATCAATAGGATACTGCAAAGACATTGTGCTCTCGTGGCTCATTCCGAATACATAGGTCTTGACAATGAGCCTTAGCTAGACGACATCACAAGGTTATGAGCGCCGCAATGTCCATCGAGTTCATCAATGGTTGACATTTGGCTGTGGGCATCTCAAGTCAGGTGTAAATCACTGTCAAGCGACAATATTCCAAGTGTCCCAACTCCTTCCGTTTTCCCTTTGGCCCAAACCCAAGCATGCGACATGCCATTGGAATGGACCCCGGTCACCGAGAGGATGATGTGGCCACCACGGCGGAGCGAGGAATTGCCGGAACGCTCTTTGTGCACAAGGCGCATGGCCTGATGTAGCTGGCATCGCTATGAACGGAACAAGGGCATCGCTACGAACGGAACAAGAAGCTAGTAACTAGTAGGTTGGAGACCACTAGGAGCAAGGAAGCTACTAGCCCGTAGCCAATTGTCACAAGGGCCGATGAGATCGCCCCTTGGACCCGATTCCACTTTGGAGGGCTTGTCTCAAATCCGGTTTGGAGGGACCAAGGGCTGTAGGGGTGGTTGGCAGCTTCATTCATTGGAAGTTCCGAGATGCCAATCTACCTGAGCTTCCTGGCAGCTTACTTTTTCCCCACCTCATCCTTGCAGCGCGCGCCTGGCAAGTCCTAAAACGCTTGAAGCACATCGAAGTTTGCAATATTTTTATCATGGTTTATCGATGTCGTCAAGGTGGCAGGCGCCATGTCTGAGGAGGGCAAGTCCCTCAGTGAGATTAAGACCGAAGTGGCCGCCTGGGCAGCAAGTGACACCCGAACAAGTGACGGCACCTGTCATCGCTTGGGAGAGATGAGCCAGTTGTGTTTCACACTTCTGAATACATTCCAGCAATTGAAGCGAAACGACCTGAGGGCATCTCATGGCTACATTGCATGTGGAACGGATGATGTTCACCACCTCTCCACACCACTGTTCCGCACCGAACTCTCTTCCCCGCTCGAGAAGATCGACGCAAGGAACAGGTGATCTCAAAGAGTCTCAGTCTGGGCATCTCCCTCTCAGTGGTCCGGCGCTTGAAGGCTGAATCCATCGCCCGCAAGAAGATGGAGGCCAGCCATGCAGAAGTCCATGGCGTTTTAGTGTTTTTCCCCCCAAAAATAGTGCCGAATGGAAGAGAGCCCCTCGTGCTAGGGTCAAGTAGGTGCTGGGTCTCACTCTTGCTTGACATTTTTGTTTAGAGATGTTCAGAGGTATATAACTCACTTTAAATCACCAAACCATTGCAGGAGGACAACTGTAGGGGCATTGGTGTGTCGACGGGCACATAACCAAAAAGAACCGTGCGCTTGGTGCAAAGACGCAATTGTGTGCTTGCTGGAGTGCCAAGCTCCTGGTCTTCTTGGTCTGGGTTCCCATTTCACAAGCTTGGAACTATTGTAAGTGATGCAAGAAAATGTTCTGAATTCCAAATGCACACTGAGCATTGCGAAGTTCAAAGTTGGTCAAGGGCAGTCAACGCAGTCAAATGTGGACTCCATTGGGCCGCAGGTGGGCTTGGGCATTCATGGGGAGCCAGGTGCCAGGACCCGACATGGACCGCAAGTGGCTTTGGAGAAGGGGGTTCTCAATTTAATGAGTTTCCCACCAGCAACTAACATACAGGAAAGAACCTCATGAGTGTAGCACATGGCCAATTTGTTTGCATGCGTTCCAAGTCATGAACGTTGATGAGAATTCCTTTTTTGATGGTTCGAAGGTTTGTAGACCAGAGTGGAGATATAAGACATCTAAGAAATTGTGTAACCAATGTGTGGCTTCTGGACTGGGCGTTTCTTTGTTTTCACTGCGGGGCACGTCCTGGACTGTCGACTGGTCGACCAGGACCGAAGCAATGGCGTCCGCAAAGAAAGTGGTGGAAATCTTAATGGAGGGCTTGGAAGCGGGACGAAGTGCCAAGCAGCTGCCAGAGCCCGAGGGCTGGATTTGTTTGCTGAACAACTTAGGCTGGGCATGGCGCAAGCGTGACCATTTGGCTCCATGTTTGTAGGGTTCTATGGAGGTTCATTTCCATCGCTCTTTCAATACACGTGTGTTTCCATGTGAAACTCAGATAGCTATACGCCAAACATTTTTGTGGATGTGAATCAGAGTTGGTGAGGTTCCTTTTTTGGTACATCAGCAGCTAGGAGGAGGACATGAATCAGAAATAGGTCGATTTGGCACAAACACGCCAGCTGATGAACATTGGAAAGGGAGCGGGGTTGCAGACTTCAGATGTGCAAGCAAAACTCTTACATGCGGGAAGAGACCCACATGGAACCTGAACATGTACCTTTGGAAGACTATTTTCCTCTACAACCCACTGGTTTTCAGGTTCCATGATGTTCTATGTTAGTCTTCCAGGTGTAATTTCGCTGATTTGTTCATTTCCTACCCTTACGAATTTGCAGCAGAGAGGTGCCTCTCGACATGCCATCGAAGTGCCTTTGGGTCTTGTCAACTCAAAGAAGACGTGCATTGAAGTGTAGGTAAACCATGGGAAGGCATTATAAGATCATTTGGACCAGTTCAGAGTTAGGTTTCTGACCTATGGTATGTATGACAGTTTTCTAGATGTACTACCCGCTGCTTTATTCATTAATGTATGCATCATTGGCGCACAGCACCGGCACCACAAGGCATTGCAGAGAAAAAAAGGTCCGTGTCCGGCATCCTGTGCCAACCAAATTTCCCAACGAACTGAACATTCGCCGTGACACCTTTTCTTCTCTAGGTGGTGTGCCACCACAAGAGATGTGCATCGTGCTGGCGGAGCTGATGAAGTCCAAATGGGGCAATAGCATCAAGCTTTTAGTTGGCCCAGCACCGATGTGCACCTCCTTGGAACCTTTGATGCACAATGTCGTACGGAGGTTCTTGTTGCCAGCGCCCGGTTTGGGGCTCATGGCATGTGGAAGTCTGAGGGTTTGGTCATTGTCTTCTCCAACCCAGGTGTTTGGTCGTCCACCCGGAGGGCTGTCAGGCTCAAGCGTCGAAACCGGTCGTCGGTGCCGTCTCCGCTCGGCGGATGGTGTCGCGCATCGATGCCTGGACCAAGTTGGCGGGATTGGCGATGACGGACAGGACCTGGAAGGCGGGCGAAGCCGGCGAAACTGTAACTGACGTGTTTTTGGGCCGAGGGTTGGCTTGTGGCCCAAATCTTGGAAGGGAGCGGTGGTGAAGCCACAGTTCAAACCCAAAACACATCACAACCTGGATTGTGTCTGGAGCAGTGCTTGGCATGTCTTAGCTCTTCGTTTTCCAGACTTGGCAGGTGGCAGCCTCACAACCACATGGCACTTTGTCTTATCGTTCCGCTCCTTGCGATGGCAGCCGCGGCCGCGGATTGATCAAAATTGACATGAGGGACATTTTGGTAATCAACGGGCCTGAGAAGGCAAGACGCGATGTTCTGACCCGTTGCACCTGCTGGAACTAGATCTTATATATATATGTGTATATATCATATACTGCCCGGTATACAGATTTCTTACAAAACATATTACTATTATATACGTATAGAGATGTGTGTCTTGAGTTTTCATCTCATAAACAGCTGTCAATGATTCTTAAAATGAATATGCCTCATAGTCCAGAGAGTGTCCTTTTCATTTGTTGCCCACCGGGAGCGTTGCAGCCAGCTGCGGTTGAAACCTCCATCTTAATGTGGCCAGGTGTCGGACATCATGGTCCGACCGGAAGTCCGTGGCTCCAGCATCGGGAAATCCCTGGACGGTTGGTACCCCGAGCTGCGCTTGGACGTCTTGCAGAACCTTGCACCGGGCGATGTGCTGGCAATACAATACACCAGGATACCAATCCTGCGTGGCTCGGGCCTTGCGAAGGCATTGTATGAACATGTATGAACACATCCAACACGTGGGAATCAGCTAGATTCTATAGATGGGCTTGGCAATTTTTTTATGTTCCGTATGATTCTTGCTGTATATAAACCGTGGGCCTTTCGTCTGAACGCCACCTCACCCAGTGAAATGGTACTGCGTTTGAGCCGGAGCGAAGGAACTGAAGGGTCGAAGCGAACCTAGAAATGGTCAGCCCTCGTGAGGGACATGGGACTTGGGACATGTCGTTCAGCAACACTAAGGGTCAGAACTAAGGCTTGCTACTTCTCTTCTTTGGGGACTCGGCCGGTCTGCTCAAGGCCAACTTCATGTACAACACTGAGGGCGCCCTGACCCGCCTGCGGCTTCGAAAGGATTACCCGGAGCCCGGGGACGCATGTCTTGTGAATTTCCAGGAGATCGATGGCAGCAACCAGGAATACATGCAGATCCTGCGGAACGAAGATCGACTTGGGCGAATCAGAGTGGTCACGATGTTCAGTACGCCCACCAGTCAGCTTGGATGCAGAGAGGAACCATGGGGACTGCAGGATGCACCATGTGAAGAATACGGGAAGCAATTGGGTGGGAAAAACAAAAGTGGCGAATCGCATGAGAGCCAGCTTGTTTGAGATGTTTGAGTACAAGTAGTGAGGATTACATGGTTTTTCTTCAGTGGCAAGATAGGGCTGGTAGACTGGCTGGTGTGTTTGTGTCATCTAAGGCAAGTTTGCTAGTTGGGCCTCGCCTTTGTTCTCGGTGCTGATTGATCTTGCTCATCGGACCATGCAGGGTTTTTGCAATCGCCTTGGTGCACCGCTGGCATTTGTTGAATGTGGAGAACAGGTGTGACGAACGGTGGAGAAAAAGACGCCACAACAAAGGAGAAGAATCAACTAGATCATGCTATAGGTTATGCTAAAGGCCCCCAACAGGTGTTGGTTTATTGTGTTAGATGGTCGTTTTTCTTGCAAAGGCGGGTGAGTGGTATGTTTTGAGTCGCCTGGTTTGTACATGCTGCACTCTGTCGTCCATCTGTCGTTCGACGTTTCCACCGAGGAGTCCAAGCACTGCGAGACTTGGATCGCCGCTTTTACGTGGTGTTGGCCCTCCGGAGCTTCAATCGGGGCTCACCCCTGCTTCCAGCGCACGACCGCGTGCCCGACGACGGTACGGTCCCCATCCACGACCGCGACGGCGGGACGGTCGTCGAGGTGACGATCTCTTCGGAGGATCCGATTCTGAGGTCTTGGACTCGATTTGATTCAGGCGCGGTCAGTGAGTGAGTGACAATGAGGATGGGCAGAAGGGGCACGGGCAGGGCACCAGATGAGGACGTGCTTAAGATTGCACCGATGGGTTTTTTTCCCTTGGAAGGGGGGCGAGAACTCATGATATGTCATGATGGTTGCCACAACATACAGTGGTCAAAGTACTTGCCTGTTCAGGTGGCAAATTCCGCTTCGACAAGTACTTGCAGATGCTTCTGCAAAGGCTTGGGCACAGAGAGGTGTCCTGGCATCGATAGCAGACAGCGTTGGACTGCACTCTTCTCCATTTTATTGACCCTGAAAATTGATCCCCTGGAAGACCATGTTCCTCTAGACTCAGTGGTTTCGGGGCTCCATCTTTATATGCAGGAGGGTAAGCTTTTCACTTCCAATCTACGTATGTCAATTGTGCTGCATTCAACAGCAGAAGGAGCCGACAACTTAGATGTTCAACCTTTCTAATCTTTTCTAGTTGATTTGGACCAACAGCTATCAATGGCCCAATCATCCAAATCTTGCATCCCCATTTGCAGGTTATTTTCACTGCTAGGTTAGGACATGTTAGGAATGCCAAGCCTTTGAAGAACATCACTTCGCAGCGTCAGGTTCAGGTCTTCAACAGCTTGGACTGTCGGACCTTGGTTCCCTATCAATGCGTCATGCGCACGGAGCAGTGGAAGGACGGCGCTTTTGTCGCTGATTCCCTCCAAGAAGCGACGAATGTGGACGGAACAGCGAGGTGAGTTAGATGAAATTGCCCGTAGCTTTTTTTGGGACCATTGCATAGCCACATGGCCGCCATGCGAACCAGTAGTCGCCTTGAAAGAAGCGAACGTTTAGACAGGTCGCGGAGCGATTCCCTTTATTACGTTCGTAGCGTCCTTGCTCCTAGTAGTAAGGCCAGGAGCTAGTAGCGTTCTTGCTCCGTTCGTAGCGGTGCCCTTTGCTCCTGTCTTCTGAAGGAAGTCCGGGAGAGCTGTCTTCAAGCATTGACGTTGCAGAAGACTGCTTACCGTCGCGAATCAGCAGTCAGACAGTGCGGCCATTGTTTAAACACAATGACAAGTAGGTCGTTTTCTGTATGGTCCTAATTATTAAGAGTTGTTTAGGTGAAGTCATCTCGACTGACTTTTTCCTGAACCCCTTTATTCCACCCCATGGGTTTCACTTCAGGTCGTGCAAACGGTGGAACAACAGCACCAAGCTTGGTTGAGGATACGCTTCCGCGTTTTGCACCTGCTTTGCAAGTGGCGAACTTTCCGTTTGCTTCTTTTGTAAGAAGGAGCATGCATACGATGATAGGTTTTTTGCCCTTTGTTTCGCTTTTCGTCTAAGTTACATTGTGACGTACCTACTCTTGAGGATGGTTTTCATTTGCTCCAGGGCAGGAATGGCCTGTCTCTGAATTGTAGAGATCCAGGATCAGAACGTGAACCCGCAAATAGCAAATGATGGTCAGGGACCCCGAGCAACAGAGGACCATCCAAATCAAGCCAATCCATATGGTACTGATTCCCGGTGCTTGGAGAAGACTTTTCCGTACGTCCCACGTTTTTCGTTCAAGACATCCTTACATACCAAGACCTCGGATTGCCCTGAAGTGATTGGAGACATCGGAGACACAAAGGCGAAGGCGGGTGAGATTGGGAGAGTTTGGGCGTTAACCAGCAGGCAGCAGTACTCAGTTGACAAGTTTACCGTTTATACCATGTTCCTCCTCTTTTCTTGCCGTGTTGCACTCTTGGATTGAGGCTTTGGGATTTTTGTTCAGGCCAACACGTCACGTGTCGTGCATGTGAAACGACCAGGGGGAGGGGCTTCGCGGGGCTTCGATTCGTCCCGATGGACACGGTCCGGTGCAGGTGGTGGTGCGCAAGACCTTTCTGGAGCTTCAAGAGTCTCCCAATGAAGCACCGCTCCGCCGAAGCAGGAGCCTCCTGGCGGCCGGTGGCCGGTCCAGTCGATGGATGTGGGAGTGTCCATTGGATACCCCTTGGAAGTATGTGGTTTTTGTTGTTACTGGGGTTGGAGGTAATGACACTGTGGTGGAGATGATTGCAATGGCACAATCGATGGTCATGCGGAGTCATGCCGCAACCAGGGCATCCCTGCTAGTAGCTTCTTGTTGCTAGTAGTAAGGCCAGGAGCTACTAGCAGCGTCCTTGCTCCT